TTTATCATTTGTATGTCTGTTTGGTTGAGGTATCAGATCTTTTGCCCATTTTTGTAATTAGGTTGTTTTCTTATTGTTGAGGTGTTTTGTTTTTTTTTTTTTAAATTGTTGACTTTTAAGAATTCTTTATATATTTGGGATACAAGTCCTTTAGCAGATACGTGTTTTGGAGATATTTTCTCCCAGTCTGTAGCTTGTCCCTTCATTCTCTTAGCACTGTCTTCCACCAAGCAAAAGTTTTTAATTTAATAAAGTTCAGCCTGTCAATTTTTTGTTTCATTGTTTGTACTTTTGGTGTTGTATCTCAAAACTCATCACCACACCCAAAGTCACATAGACTTTTTCCCTGTGTTATCTTTTAGAAGTCTTACAGTTTTACATTAATGTCTATGACTCATTTTAATTTCCCTGAAAAGTGTAAATTCTGTGTCTAGATTCTGATTCTTTTTTTTTTTTTTTAATTTTTGTTGTTTTATGAATGATGTCCAATTGTTCCAGCACCATTTGAAAAAAATTCCCTTTCTCCATTGAATTGCCTTTGCTCCTTTGTCACAGACAAACTGATTACATTTTTGTGCATTTGTTTCTGGGCTCTCTGTTCTGTTTCATTGATCCATGTGTCTGTTCTTTCACCCTTACCACACTGTATTGATTACTGTAGGTTTTATAGTAAATCTTAAAGTCGGGTAGGTCAATCCTCTAATATTGTTCTTCTTCAGTGTTGTGTTGACTATTCTGAGTCACTTGCCTTTCCAAATAAATGTTATAATCAGTTTGTTATATCTGCAACATAACTGGCTGGGATTATGATTGGAATTACATTGAATTTGTAGATTAAGTTGGAGAAAATTGGTAACAATACTGCCTTTTCCTCAGAGTTGTGATGGTGTAGTGGTGTTAAAGCATTTAGCTGCTATCCAAAAGTCTGGTGGTTCAAACCCACCAGCTGCTCCGTGGGAGACAGATGAGGCAGTCTGCTTCCATAAAGATTTACAGCCTTGGAAACCCTATGGGGCAGTTCTGTTCTGTCTTATAGGTTCCTATGTGTTGGAACCGACTCATTGACAGGGAGTTTGGGTTTGGTATCCATGGGCATTGAATATGTTTATTTAGATCTTCTTTGATTTCTTTAATCAGAGTTTTGTAGTTTTCCCTACAGAGATCCTATAATATTTTGTTAGATTTATGCTTTCTTGGTGCTTTTTTTTTGGTGCCTATGTAAATAATACTGGATTTTTAATTTCAAAATCCAGTTGTTTGTTGTTGGTATATAGGAAAGCAGTTGACTTTCGTATATTAACCTTATATCCTGTTGCCTCGTTATAATCATTGATTACTTCCACCATTTTTTTGTTATTGTTGTTCATTCTTTGGGATTTTCCATATAGAAAATCTTGTCATCTGTAAACAAAGACGGTTTTTTTTCTTCTGAAATCATTTTTTCATGTAGCATTTCTTTATAGGTTAAGGAATTCTACAGGAAACTGCAAAATCAGCATGAATTTTAAAGATAAAACCCAAGTTTGTGCTTACTGGGAGTAAACACTAACTCCCGCTTTCTCTGTCCACCAGGATTGGCATTCACTGGCTTTTCTTATTAGTTGTTTGGCTGAAAAGTTTGAAAAGCAGTTACCCATCCATTTTTCCTTAAGGAAGCATTTTTTTTCACCTGAAGCTAATGCTAGTATCATTTTCTATCAAATTTATTTCTTTTTTTTTAATATGCATAGCCAAAGGAATATAAAAGAACCTTTGGGACATTGGAACTGTGGTCCATCCATCCTAGTGTCCTGTCTGACTGTGACATCAGGGGGTCATTTTATGGGAAAACAGGTTGTATCTTCTTCAGAGACTATACTCTTGTTTTGAAATGTACTCATCCAGAAATTGCTGGTTCAAGATGAATGGATAAACCAAATGTGGTACATACACATGATGGAATATACTCAGCCGGTAGAAGAAATGAAGTCTTGATACGTGCTATAGTATGGATGGAGCTGGAAGATACTATGCTGAGTGAAATAACCCAGTTACAAAAGGATAAATATTGTGTGGTGGCATTTATATGAAAAGACAAGGAAAGGCAAATATACAGAGACCAAAGTTTATTAGTGATCACTGGGGGCAGGAGAGAGAAGGAAAAGAGGAGTTAACAGTAATGGGAAAATCTCATTGATTAAGGGTAGGGTTGTAAAGTCAATTATTGTAATTCCTGCCAATAAGTTGTATAACTGTGAAAATTTGAATTGGCAAACGTTGCGTGTAGACCTACTTTGGTGAATAGCAACTGGGGTCTTAAAACCTTACATGGAACAATTGACGTCTCCTTGTCCGGAGCAAAAAAGAATGAAGAAAACCAAAGATGCGTGAAAACAATGAGTCCAGGGGCTAGTGGACCATCCCAAGTGGCCTACATGACTGTGAGACCAGAAGAACTAGATGGTGCCCAGCTACCACTGCAACCACTCAGAAAAGAATCAGTATAGGAGGTCCTGGATAGAGTGGGAGAAAATGTGGAACAAAACTCAAAATCATACAAAAGCCTTACTGGTCTGATAGACACCAGTGAAACCCTTGAGACTATGGCCCCTCGACACCCTTTGGGCCTGGAAGTGAACTTACTCTCGTGGCTTCCAGCCAAACAAAAGACAGGCATATAAGGTGAACCTTTACACCAGGTAGATACACTTTTGAGAACAGTCAACCATGGGAGTTCAGAAGGGCAGTATTGGCACAGAGAAATAGCTTGGAGGACAGGAATGCATAGGAAAGAAGAACACAGGAAAAAGGTAACCACAGGGAGGAAATGGGAAGAGAGCTGTTACATTATGGGGACTGCAATAAGTGTCATGAAACAAAATGTGTATGAATTATTGTATGGAAAATGAATTTGCTCTATAAACTTTGATCCAAATCACAGTGAAAAAATTAAAAAAAAAAAAAGTGTTGATAAATATATTTACAACAATGGCAAAAAGAAAGACACTTCTTGGCCATAGCCAGCACCCAGAGGGAGCAAGTAGTTGGACCTGTGGGCTTGGGACCATGGTCGCAGGGGACATAAGCTTAATTGGCATAACATACTACACAAAAACATTGTTACACATCCTAACTTTGGTGAGTAGCAGCTGAGATCTTAAAAGCTTACAACGGCCATCTAGATGCAACGACGAGTCTGTTTTCATCCAGAGCAAGGAAGAATGAGGAAAACCAAAGGCGCATGGAAACAATTAGTCCAAGTGGCTGGTAAACTATGCAATACTCAGCCTATACAAGTATGAGACCAAAAGAACTAGATGGTGCCTGGCTACCACCATCAACCACTGAGATGGGGATCTTTGTAGGACATCCTGGACAGAGTGGGAGAACAATGTGGAACAAAACTCAAAATCATTAAAAGAAAAAAAGGGACCAGGTTTGCCGGTCTGATAGAGCCTGGTGAAACCCCTGAGACTATGGCTCCTAGATGCCCTTCGGGACTGGAATTGAACCCATTTCCATGACTGCTAGCCAAACAAAAGACAAGCATATGAGCTGAACATTTACATTTGGTAGATACACTCCTTGGAGAGATCAGTCATGGGAGAATAGAAGGGCTATGTATGCACAGGGAGATAGCTCGGGGGGCAGGAGTGCATGGGAGGGAAGGACACAGTGAAGAGGTAACTATGGGGAGGATGTAGGAGGGGAGCTGTTGCATTGTGGGAAATTACAGTCACTGTCATATGAGAAAGTGTATGTGAGCTAATGTATGGAAGATGAATTTCCTCTGTAAACTTTCACCCAAATGACAATGAAAATTAAAAAGAGAGAGAGAAGCTCCTGAGGCTGGTTATGTACTCCTCATGCAATATGGATCCTTGGTTTGGAGGTATAGGGTCATGGTTTCATGGGACATCCCAGTTAATTGGCCTAGTAACATTTCATTTTCAGTGCTTCTGGTCTACCTCCTAGATCATTGCATAGTGCCTGGGTCTTAAAAGCTTGCAGGTGGCCATCTAAGGCACAACAATTGGTCTCTGTTCACCTGGAACAACAGAGGAAGAAGGAGAGTGGAGAGTAGGAAGAGGCTGTGGAATGTGTGGCTAATTGCCTCCATGATCAGCTGCCTCCTTTGCTATGAGACCAGAAGAGCTGAATGGTGCCTAGCTACCATTAATGAAAATATTGATCATAGATGCCATAGGAGAATCCTGATCAAAAGAGGGAAAATGTAGAACAGAATTTCAGATTTTCATGGACTCTAGACTTTGTGGAGCCATGAAGCTTAGATGAACCCCTGAAACTCTTGCCCTCACATAATCTTTAAACCTTAAACCAAAAATGCCCCCTGAAATCTTCTTAAAACTAAACAATAGTTTTACAACTAACTCGAGGGCACATAACAACAACAACAACAAACAATAGTTTAGCTTAACTAGTAAAAAAAAAAAGAGTCTGCCTTGAGCTGAGCATTATGCTTTTTTTAAGAACTATCTATATGGGATCACATTTGACAGCAGCAACTGAAACCATTAGATAGGAACCTTGTTGTTGTGTTGTTATGTGCCGTCGAGTCAGATCCGACTCATAGCGACCCCCCCTTGGGTTTCCGAGGAGTATCACTACGGAAGTAGATTGCCCCATCTTCCTTCCGAGGAGTGGGTTTGAACCGCCAGCCTTCTGGTTAGCAGTCAAGTGCCTTAGGTACTGTGCTACCAGAGGTCCTGTAGGAACCTTAGGGGGCAGTAAGTTTATGTTAATGAGGGAAGAACAACTCAAAAAAGGAAGGTGAGAATGGTTGTAATCAGTGTCACTGAACCGTAGATGTAGAAACTGTTGAATTGGTGTATGTTTTGCTGTATAAATTCTCAACAACAACAAAATAAATAAAATTTAAAGAAAAACACACTGCTGATGGTTTTTATAGTATTCCAGTTATCAATTGGCATAAATTCCTAACATTTTTCCTCTAATAAAGCATTAATTACGTTTGATCTCTGCTCTGTTTGTGGTCCTAGGTTGGTTCATTCTGGTTCCGGATGTCGATCACCCTCACTTGGATCTGACCTTACATTTGCTACCAGGACAGGCTCTCGACAAGGCATTGAGATGCATCTGTTCAGGGTGGAGACACATCGGGATCTGTCAACCTGGACCAGGGTGCTTGTTCAGGGTTGTCATGCTGCTGCTGAGCTGATCAAGGAGGTTTCTCTAGGTACAGATGATGACATTTCATTTCTAAGAGTAATTCAATAGAGCTGTTACAGGTGCTGGAATATGGCAGCTTAAAGGAGGGATGATGGAAACAAACCTGGTATCTCTGTTTCACTAGCAAAGCTTCCTAAGGCCTTGTACATGGTTCTAAGCACATTCATAACACCCTATATGAAACATTGCATTTTTACTGTTCTTTATTTTAATCTGCATTACATAGTTTAAGGATGCATTTCCTAAGTACTAGATGCATTCATTGACTATCTAGTTAAGAAGATGTAGAATATAAAATACAGATCCAAACCAAAACCAAACTCACTGCCATTGAGCTGATGCTGACTCACAGTGACCGCCAATGGCTTTCCACGGCTATAAATCTTTGTGGAAACAGACTGTCTTATCTTTCTTCCATGGAGCAGCTGGTGGGTCCAAACCACCAACCTTTTGATTAGCAGCCAAATGCTTTAACCACTATACCACAAAACCAAAAAAAAAAGGATAGACATTCTTAAAAATTTGAGCATCTGTCAAGCTTATGGCTATAGAAAAATAAATGACTTGGAATAAGAGCTTCTCTTATATGTGCCCATTAAGGCATTTGGCTGCTAACTAAAAAGTCAGCAGTTCAAACCCACCAGCCACCCCACAGGAGAAAGATGAGGAAGTCTGCTTTCTTAGAGATTTACCATCTTGGAAACTCTATAGGACAGTTCTACTCTGTCCTGTAGGGTCACTTTGAGTTGGAATTGACTCCATGGCATTGGATTTTGGGTTTTATATGTGCTGAACATATACTCAAATAAGCATCCAAAGGAAATAAGCTTGGTGGCCTCTTTCTAGCGTTTGAAGTGCCCTCTTGTGGCTAGTCTCTATATATGAATTGCTTTTAGTGAGCTTTGTGCGTTTCAGATATATATATATTTGTGTATGTAAATATATATGTGTATATAAAAAGAATAAAATCTTCACAGCTAGACCAGTAAGCAACAACATTATACATGGAGAAACATTGAAGTTGTCAAGGATTTCATTTTACTTAGATCTACAATCAATACCTGTGGAAGCAGCACTGAGGAAATCAAACCATGAACTGCATTGGGCAGATGTGCTGAAAAGACCTCTTTAAAGTGTTAAACAGCAAAGATGTCACTTTGAAAACTTAAGTTGTGAGTGACCCAAGCCATTGTCTTTTCAGTAGCCTCATATACATGTGACCACTGGACAGTGAGTAAGGAAGACCATAGAAGAATTGGTGCACTGAATTGTGGTGTTGGTGAAGAATACTTTAGAATTTTTAAGGTTTATTTTCATCATACCAATACCCCAAGCTATTAAAGTTTTAAAACCATCAAAAACTGTACGGAGATACTTTATAGTTCTGTAGCTTTGGCGATACAATAACTAAGAAAGAGTAGACATAGGTATAGGGATTGCATTGACAAATATGCAATTTGCTCTGACCATGCTGTTTTCTGTTTCTCTGAAATTCTTTAGCATCTCTTTTATTCATCTCCTTGGCAAATATTTATTGAATGTATAGTCCATGCTTTTACTGGCAATCCTAAAATAAATAAGATAGGCATAGCCTTCAAGTAGGAAAAGATAAACAAAAACAATATCCATTGAAAATACATATCCATTGAAAGTCAGCTTTGTTATGAGGCATAAATAGCATACATATATCATCTGACCTTCACAAATGACCCTCGAGGGCAAGCATTATCAACCTCATTTTCAAGATATGGGAACTGGGGCTAGTGTGGCTGGGGCTTGCATTTAGCTGTTTCTGACTTAAAGCCAGTGCCTTAACCATTATTCATGTGGCTAGATTAAACTCCTGGAGGACACATACAGTATGTATCAGTCTGTTAATTCATTAAATCAAGAAGCATTTGCTGTTTACTGTTTCCAAAGCACTATGCTTTGTAATGAGACAAATTAAAATATAGAAGACTTACTTCCTTCCTTTGACCAAATAGTTGTAATAGAGCAACACAGTGTCATGTTCTTTGGGACCCTGGATGTGATTACCTTATTGATTACACTTGAGGGACTGGCTGTTCCTGTAAGCAGTCACTAGGAATGCTGCCCCTGCCTTCCTCTGGGACACTCCCAGGTAGTCCAGGCCAGGAGAGTTGCCGGTCAAGCCTGCAAGGTCTGGTCCCTTCTAGGTTGTTCTGTAAGGCTGGAGACCTACAGGAGCCCTGGGTGGTCCACACAGTACTGTACCTGATAGAGGGACAGGCCAGGATTTTGCTGGAAGCACTGGAGCTCTCCAGAGCCTTCTAGCCAAGTGACTGGCCCCAAAGCAGCAGGAACAAGATTTACAGCATAAACTTTCTTTGTCATTAGGGTCTTTGTCCCCAAGTGCTTCTCCATGATATACCGGTAGCCACTGTCAGTCTCTTACTTAAAAAAGAGACAAAGTAGATAAGTTTATGTACCATTGTTCCCCTTGGTGTAAACTGAGTGATTTATTATTAGTTAATGAACTTTTGTTTCCTCCTAGCTCTGTTAAATTTTTTTTACTAATAAGGAGCTTACAAGAAGGTGATCTTTAATACATGTCATTACAATCAACAGTATCCCTATGGTCAAAAAAAAACCAGTCGCCTCTTCTCCATGGGAGCCTCAGGATCATTATGAGCAGCACTTCAGTGAATACTTAAGTACCGTTCGAGTCCTACAAGAGGCAGCCTGGAACAGAGGAAAAAGAGCATGAGCTTTGGAGTCAGGAGACACTGGCTTGAACCCCACATACTAGTTAGGTGACTCTGAGAACCCAACTTCTCTGAACCTCAAATCCTGAATTTATAAAAGTGAGGCTATTACAATTCAAAAGGTTAAGTGAGAACCTTAGGGGCAGTGAGTTATGTTGATAAGAGAACAACTCAGAAAAGGAAGGTACAAATGGTTATACAACCTAAGAATGTAATCAGGATCCCTGAATTGTTCGTGTAGAAACTGTGGAATTGGTGTATGTTTTGCTGTGTCTATTCTTAGCAGCAACAATAAAAGGAAAAATAATATATAGATAGAAGACCGCATATCTACTCTGGCACACATGGGGTCACCCTGAGTCCAAATTATTTCTATGGCAACTGATTTAAATAGGCAAGGCAACACAGAGTTTCCAGAAGATTGTGTTTCCTCTGTTAAAGTCAGAAGAATCCTTTTTCACTTGATAACTAAAATAGGAACTTATGTTGTTTTTTGTTTGTTTCCAATAGGCTGCACATTAAATAACCAAGAATTAAGACTCACTGTCCACTATGAAAATGGGTTCACTATCTCCAGGGAGAATGGAGGCTCCAGCAGCATTCTGTACCGCTACCCTTTTGAAAGGCTGAAAATGTCTGCTGATGATGGTATCAGAAATCTGTATCTGGATTTTGGTGGTCCTGAGGGAGAACTGGTAAGAGTGTTTCTGAAAAACACACTTCTTCTGTATGTATTCTCGTTCTTTCGGATCGCTTCGTACCTCTTGTATAGAAAATTACCACTTGTTCCACTCCATTTGGAACCAGGAAATTGTTCAATTTCCAAGGTGGTCTTGGGTTTGGTTTTGTGTTTGGGTTTTTTTTGTTTGTTTGTTTTTCCTCCTTTCCCTGTGTTAGGAAACCAATCACTTTTAAAACATGGTTTTGTTTGAATATTAGAAATAATAATAAGAAATAAATTTTTATCAAAAATAAGATATGAAATACTAAAAACAGCAGACTTAATTAAATAAATTCCATCCATGGCTATTATCAGCAGTTTGATAGGGTAAGAGTTAAGAGTAACAGAATGACTTGGTTGCTAAGAAATCTCATCAGAAAAAAAGATACAGAGATACACCCATACAGCCATCTTTTCTTGGCCTCTTTATCCTCAAATGAAAATATCAACAGAAAATCATGATTCCTTTAGAGAGATTAGATAGATGAATGAAGCATATTTCAGAAATAATGAATTATGAGTAAACCTATGCCTTTCCTCCCTTATCAATAGTAAGTAAGTAGTTCAAGTCTTACGTAAAATCTTACATCCACTAACAAAATCATACCAAAAAACCTAACTCACTGCCGTCAAGTTGATTCAACTCACAGCAACCCCTCCCTGGGTTTCCGAGGCGGTATCACTACAGAAGTAGATTGCCCAACCTTCCTTCCAAGGAGTGGCTGGTGGGTTTGAACTGCCAGGCTTCTGGTTAGCAGTCAGATGCCTTAAGCTCTATGCCACCAGGGCTCCTAACATTTGGAAACACAGCATCTTGAAATTTTAGAACTGACAAATATCTTAGAAGTAGTGTAGTTCAACCCAAATGAAACAACTCTGGCTAGAAACCTTATTTTAAACGAACCTTTCTTTAGGTGACTATGGACAGGCCATAGACCAGGGCTGTCCAAAGCTGGAAAGCATTAGTGAGAGTTAAATCTGTGTCTCTGTTAAACTCACTTCTATTAAATTAACCCGCTATTAATGACATTTGTCATTTAGCAAGCAAGGTGTCAATACTTAAGGCATTGATTGCTAACCAGAAGGCTGGAGGTTCAAACCCACCAGCCACTTCTCGGAAGGAAGGTTGAGCAATCTCCTTCCATACTGATACCGCCTCAGAAACCCAAGGAAGGGTTGCTGTGAGTCAGAGCCGACTCAACGGCAGCGAGTTTGGTTTTTGTGTTTTTTTTTTTTTTTTTAAATATGTATATATTTATGCTTTGTATTTAATGTATACAAAATTTAGTGATGAAATTAGTGCTCTATAATTTGTGCTTCTAATAAAGTTATGTCTTTCTTTTTAAAAAAGCTCAGTTACTAAACTGATCTCTCTCACTGGTGCCAAAGGTTGGCTAACCAGCTGGCTCATGTAGCCTGACCCCAGGTTCCTTGTTCATGTGGTGGCACCTGTGCAGACAGACTAGTATCCTGTGCTTAAAAACCAAAAACCTCACTGCCATCAAGTTGATTCCAACTCAGTGACCCCATTGTGTTTCTGAGGTGGTAAATCTTTATAGTAGATCGCCCCATCTGCTTTCTGCAGAGCGTCTAGTGGGCTTGAACTGCCAACCTTCTAGTTAGCAGTCAAATGCCTTAGGCACGGTGCCACCAGAGCTCCTTTGGGTCCTGTGTTTAGAAGGGTATCAACTGGTCTCACAAGCTATTATTCCCACCACAGACTTTATTGTTGTTGTTGTTGTTTGCCGTCGAGTCGGCCCCGACTCATAGCGACCCCTCCTTGGGTTTCCGAGGCAGTATCACTACGGAAGTAGGATTGCCCAACCTTCCTTCCGAGGAGTGGCTGGTGGGTTTGAACCGCCTGCCTTCTGGTTAGCAGTCAAGTGCCTTAGCCACTATGCTACCAGAGCTCCCACAGACTTTATTAAGGGTATCAAAAATTACACCCATAGATGGTCATGTTTCAGCTACGTTCACTGTGGTTCTGTCTGGGAAATACAATTACAACTAATGGTCTCCATATAGGATGTTCCTCTTCATTTTAAATCTACTGTTTGGTTCTTCTAGCCAGTCACAGTGGAACCCAGTGTACCACCAATTGTATCTTTACTGTAGGTGTGACCCTCATAGCAGTGTTTAATTATGACATGGAATAAATAATCTTACTTCATAGTAGACTTTTATTTATGGCTTTGAGTTCCCAAGAGTTTTCATAGCTTTGAGACATTCTTCATACAAACTCTTTTTTAAAAAGTAGAACATTACATCCAAATAGGTTAGTTTGTTAAAGCATTTGTATGTGGGAGTGATTATTGATGTCCTTTCTCTGCAGACCATGGACCTGCACTCTTGTCCGAAGCCGATTGTATTTGTGTTGCACACTTTCTTGTCAGCCAAAGTCACTCGTATGGGACTGCTTGTGTGAGCAGCAAAGAATCAGAAAAGAGCCTTGAATGTCACAAGAAGTATTTCCACCTCAGAAAAAAAAAGCACAAAAATGAAAGCTCTTTGCTCTCTCCTCCAGCACAGTGCCTTGACAAGGACCTGCACATCACTGCTGAAACATAACCACGTTTAAAGAACATTCCTTCTACAAACTCCCTTGACCAGAAATTCTAGGACCTCTAATGAGCTCCAAAATGAAGCTGTTGGTTTCTTTTCTTTTTTTTTTTTTCCCCCATAATATGAGTGATTAGGTTTGTTTTCCCTATTAAGAAGGGGTGGCTCATTGTTTTTGTTTTTGGACGTAAGCAAATATCCAAGAGTTGTTTTCTTTTTCTTCATCCTACAGGATTTGTTTGGGTTTAGTTGTGGTCTCTTGTCTGAGACAGCTGTCCCTTCCCACTTAGTCATTTGCAGTAGCTAGTTGCTTCCTGGTTGTTCCAGATGGGTCATACATTTTGTTGGAGTCTACTGTCCTCTCTTGCTCCTTTCACCGTGTGACACCCTGAGTCTGCATCACCAAGGTATTCTTCCATCTGTCCTGGCTCTTGGTACAGCCCACTCTGGCCATCACTTCCCAGTTTACCACAAGCTTTGCCAGTTCTGAGTACTAATGTTAGCACTTAGAACTTGAAAAATTTTATTTCCCTTGCTTTTCTCTCCCTTATTAGTGGTGATTAAATTAAAAAGCAGGTTGGAGACTACTGCTTTGCCAGACAAGTTTTACTTGTTTTAGTCTTTTCTGATTTTATCTTAGGTAAGAGCCAGGGGATGTTATAAGATTTATTTGAAACGAAAATTCTCATTTTAACCTAAGCCATTTTTTATTGCTTACCAAATGTGCCTTTGGTTAGGATTAGTGGAGCTTTCTTAGTGACTGTTTGGGTAACTGCGTATCATTGCCATTCCAGGGGCATTATCTAACCTAGTTTTGAGGAATTAAGTCTTTGAGGTGGGTTTCCTTAACTCTCCTTTCTAGTTGGCAGGTCTCTTTAAGGAAGACAAATCCTGATGAACCAGCTTGTTTAAAGAGTAGACTTTGCGGGTGAAGTCAGCTTCTCACATAAACATCATGTTGAGTTGCGTTGGGCTGTGTGAAACCATGTAGGATCCTGGCCTTTGTGGCAGCAGAGTGACATAGACAACAGTGCTAAGTCAAGGCTCAGTGTTGGCTCAGGAATGCATCCTTCAGTGCGCAGGCTGACGAGACCCCAGAATAGCTACCTGGGCTCCATTCAGCATTACTAGATGTTATCGTTAGGACACGGTAGCAGTTCAGAGTGTTGGTTTTGAGGTATTAGAGAATCACACTAAGCTTGTTTTCACCAATTACGAAAGAGGTAACTATCTGACAAACATTGAAATAGTTTAATGTCCATATAAAAGTTCAAGATTAGCACAGTCTTTGGATATAAAAGAAAAGACAATCTGCCTTGGGTGTCTTTTATACTCTGAAGGAAGGATAGGAGTCGCCCTCAATGAGTGGATACATCAGGAGTGTCAGAAGAGGATATGGACCTGATGGAAGGGAAGAAGGTGGAGTCACCCACCTGCATGTGTGAGATGGGCTGTTTGGTGGGAGTGCAGACCGCCCAGGTGGTGGAGCACGAGGAATGGCAGGCTCACGAGCAGCGCGTTCGGGTCAGTCGCCACAACCCTCTTGCCCTTCCTCTGCGCATGTCAGTCCTTCCCCAGGCACAGAGAGCTTAACAATATGCAGGGGGAGGGGAGAGATTTCTCTTCTTCCCCCAGCTCCAGATAATTTTAGAAGGCCCCAAGAATAAATGAACTGATTCACTTCCAACTGCAGAAATTAAAATCTAGAATAGAATATGTTTGTCAGGAGCTTTTGTACATTTTGAGAATTCAGAAACCTAATTTTCATTCCATATCAGTTTGCAAATCAGGAGGAAAAAAAAAACATGCCTTGAAGGTCCAGCTATGGACTTCTGGAAGCAGGATTTTAACAGAGTGCTTCAGGTAAAGGAGTTTAGCCACTCTTTGCAATGAGAGTATCATTAACCTGAGAAGTTTAACCATGTGGTCACAGCAGCAAAGCCATGAGGTTGAGGTTTTCTGTGTTGTCATGAAGGGCTAAACCACTGAGTAGAGTTGTGTATTCGCGGGAGTGCGTGTGCGCTCGAGGGCTGGGAGGGGTACTTCTGGAGTCACTCTGCCCACTACATGAAAAAGATCTGTGAGAAAAACTCAAATGAGAGCAGGAGAGACGAGGCATGTGTGCATTGCTGCTCATTTTGCTCCAGCTGTCATGTAGAGCACTAATGGTCGGAGTGTTCTGCCTCACTTCCAAGTCCTGATGTGAGATAAAAGTGTATGAGAGCGTTGGCTCTGTCCACTAGTAGCCCCAAGAGCAAGACCCTAAGCTGCTTGTTTGACATACTTCAGTGGCTTTCCAGTCATTAGTGACTGGGTTGTTCTTCAATGAAGTGTGTTTGTGGGCTCTTACACCACAAATGAAGTGCTTTTTATGAACGAGACAGCCTTGATAAACATGTAGTTTGTATTTAGATGCCCAAATACAGCAAATTATTTTCAAATGGTAACTAAAAATGGACATTTTTTCATAGTCCACCTCTTTTCTGAAACCAGCTAACTTTTCATTTGTTTTTCATTTTGAATTAGGAAAATGATTGAGGCGGTTGTGGGCCTTCCAGGGGTGGAATGGAAGGGAAATTGCAGAGTAGTGTCCCCCCCACTCAGATGGACCACTTCCTTTGCCCACTGAAGTTCGGGGCCCAGACGTCTTCTCCTTATTTCACACAGTTGCCTGTAAAGTAGCCAGTTCTTCCTCCTCCTTCCCTGAGACTTCTCTCCATAAAAAGAAAAGAAAAACTTAAAAAAGAAAGGCTTAGTTTGTCTTTTTCTGAAAAAGGTTCTTTCCTGAAAAGTCATCACATGAACCTTACCTGGAAACTGGTATCTAACATTTTATGTGAAGAAATACTTCAGTGTATGTGTATGCAGTATTTATTAGGTTAACTGTCAGCTCACCTGCCTCGTAGACAGAGTTTCCGGTTAAACATGGGGATATGTATGGGCAATCAAAGATAACCCGTTAAATGTCATTCACCTATTTGAAAGCCATGGGTTAGCACTTCTTAGGCCATGTAAAGACTGATAGTGCCTGCTTCTATCATCTGACTTTCACAAACTTGTTCTTGAAAATTATTGCATGATAGGAGAGAGATTATTTATTTCATATATTTTTCTAAGTAGAAAAAATGTCTAGCAAATGGCTAAACTTGTTACTGGTTATTTGTTTTCTTAAGTTATCTTCCTAAGCAGAATGGTAACAAAGCTTTTTTCAGCTGATTAAATGCACTTAGCTGATAAGCCAAAATTTTTTCTTTTTTTTTAAAAAAAAAAAATAAGCTGTGTGGAATCTGGACAAGATTATGTTTCTCCCAGGAAAATAGGTTTTGCTGTGAATGGTTTTGATTGACAAGAAGTGTGGCCACTTTTGAGCAAAGGTTACGATGGATTTTTAAAATTCCATGGGAACTTCCAGGTCTTCTTGTTTAATTTATATGCATGTGGTTATATTTGTATGTTCTCAGAAACATGGAAGAATCTCTGTCCATATTTTTATTGCAAATTACCTTGTAAGCTGCTATGCAAATTCTCTTAAAAGCCCTACCTGCTTAAAGAGCTAGACGTTTTTAAAGCTTCAGGGAAGACCTGTAGACTTAAGCACTTTCTCTGCTTTTTTGTATCTTATCTTGGACACTTACACTGAGTTATGTTCTTGTTATTTTCACTGGTTATAAGCTGTTGATTGTACAATATATTTGAACTACCCAAATATCCAGCACACATTTCTACGTTGCTGCCGTCGGTGAGGCCACAATTGAAGTGGCTGGTCAGAAAGCCAAAGGTCTTCATTTTTCAATCCCAAGAGAAGGCATAAAATGCCAGAGCTATTCAGTCCCGTTGCACATTGCTCGGGTAAGATCTGAGGATCTAGGTAATGAAAAGAGACTTATTTAAATTGGGGATTCTGCTTAAACTTTACGTTGAATTTTACTGCAGTCATACCCATTCTTTTTATAAATGTCTGTTAGGTATGATATCATGTGCCAGGGGCTATTATATTCTACCTTGAATTACCTTGAGTTTGGAAATCTCTTTCCATTAAACTTGAATTGTTACTGTGGCTTTTTTTTCCCCCCTCCTCAAGGTGAAAGTAAGAGGACTCAGCCTCTCCTCTGTAATATCTGTAATTTTCTCTCTGCCCCTATTTTAACTGTCTGGTGATCTGGAATTACTTTGACCTTTCCCATACTGTCTTTAAAAAATGACAGCAGCAGTCTTTAAAAAGATATATATATTAAAGGAAGATATGTTCCAATATATATATATATATATATATATATCTTAATGATCTCTTTCATTGTACTGGCTCTATAGACAATAAATGTTTGATGGTAATTCTACAATAGTTATGCTGTGGAACAGAATTATGTATTTTTGAGCAATATAGGAATTCCTATTCTGTAATGATAGGAAGTGACATTTATTTTATACTAGTAATAGACTGCTTAAGTGGCTGACTTAAAATCTTTTTTCTTAGAAACAAACAAATTGGCAGATCAGTGATACAAGTCTGTTCAAGTTAAGGTAGGCACATAGAGTGCATCTGTTTTCTTGTCTCTTTCTGACACTAGCTAAACTGCCAACTGGAAGAATGGCTGTTAGCTATTAATGCGAAAGAATATTTTAACAAGATACTGTATTTTCTTTTGTTTCAAAATTGATAAACTTGAGCTTAATCTCTTGCCACCTCTTCCTTCTCACTTTGGTGGCTGAACCAAAGCATATCCTAGTTTTAAAGTGAATCCATGTTTAATGCAATGCATAAATACATATTTTACAGATGAATGCTTGTGCTCCAGTGAACGTTTTCTTGTATTCAACAAAATCTACCATATGAACTGTAATCCTTGAATTGCCCCCAAAATAGATTGGTTAAAACTAGAATGTATCCTCATTGATTTCTAATTTCTGAGTCTTCTAAGG